ATTTTAATGAATATGTACCGTTCTTTTAAAATGATTATACATCTACCTTTTTATTTACTCACGCATTCACTCATCGTCTTTCTCTCACTCTCTTCTTCTATCTCTCACTCCTTCTCTTCCTCTCACTCCTTCTCTTCCTCTCATTCCCTCTCCCTCTTTCTAAACTCCCTCTCTATCTTTCTCTCCTTCACTCTTCCTCGTTGTCTCTCCTTCTCCCTCTCTTCCTCGCTTTCTCTCCTTCTCCCTCTCTTCCTCTCTTTCCCATCTTCTCTCTTCCTATTCTTCTGTTCATATCTCTTCCCCTCTTCCTCCCCTTCCCTCTGAGAACAACATCTCGTGTCCACCAATCTCTCCCTCAAGAAATTTACACTCGGTTGGCTGCTGGAGCTCGTAAGCGAAGTCATCGTATTTCCCGAGTTTTATAAGCGGACGGAGCTGGGAGGTTAGAAGTGCTCTGTGAATTTTGCCATCAAACGGATTCAGCTTCTTTCCCTCTCTCTCTCTCTTTATTTCTCTCTTTCTCTCTCTCTATCTATTCATCTCTCTCTCTCTCTCTCTCTCTCTCTCTCTCTCTCTCTCTCTCTCTGTATCTCTCTATCTCTCTCTCTCTCTCTCTCTCTCTCTTCTCTCTCTCTCTCCTTCCCTCCCTTATATATATATATATATATATATATATATATATATATATATATATATATATATATATATATATATATATATTATATATATATATATACATATATATACATATCTATATATATACACATATATACATATATATTATATTTTATATATATATACATGTATATAACATATATATAATACATATACATATATAATACACACGCACACACTCATATGTGTATATATAATTATATATATATATATATATATATCCGTGTGTGTGTGTGTGTGTGTGTGTGTGTGTGTGTGTGTGTGTGTGTGTGTGTGTGTGTGTGTGTGCATGCGTGCGTGTGAGGGGTGAGTGAATGTGTGAGTGTGTGTGTCTTTATTTCGGCATATCTGGTGTTTACGCGTCCTGTGTGTCAATTTATGTACCTAGCACACACAGGTCCTCTCAAAACCACATGTTCCTATCCCCAGCTTCCTCACTTTCTCCTCACGCCGAAATAATCATCAACCCAATTAGGCATTCGCGCGCGCCATAACGCTACTGAAGAAGGATGTGTTGAGGAGGAAGAGAGAAGGAGGAAAAGGGGGGGAGGGGGGTCAGAGAGATAGGGTGGGGGTGGGGGGGGTCAGAGAGATAGGGGGGAGAGGGGGTCAGAGAGATAGGGTGGGGTGGGGGGAGGGGTCAGAGATAGGGAGGGGGGGTGGATTAAATGGTTGGGGGAGAAGGGAAGGAGGGAGGGAGGGGAAGGGGGGGGTCGCTCCACTTTCCTGTAGCAGATGGTCTTTGCGAGTGTTGCCGTCTTACTGTTTTGTCAAGGAAAAACCAGGCGTCCAAAATAGTATTTTCTTCTGCACACATTTAGAAAAAAGAATGAATATCCCAGATTTTTCCTTTTTAAATGCTGAATATCTATGTCTGCAAGTTAATCATTTTCCTTTAAATTTCTTACGAAACTAATGAAGAAATTCAAGATTTTCCTTTTGTTTTACTCTCTTTTTCTCGGAGCTTCGAAATCATCCTCAAAGTGACTTAGGGTTTATGGTTCATTCTTACTAAATGCCTAGAGTGTGTTTTGTTTTATATTTGGGTCGTAGTGATGAAGAAAATGTTCAACGTTTTAAGTTTTTTCTTGAATTAATTGGCTTTCTATGTATTTTGTTTGTTTACATTTTGTTAATAATTTTATATCATCACGGTGTTGTCATCATCATTCGGCAATTTATCAATTATTGTTATTACTCGGTACTTTTATGTAAGGATGAGTTCCATATGACACATCACTGGCATGTGACATCTTTACCTCAACCAACACGTAACACATTAATCAAACACATGGTCTGTTCACTTGGCTTCTGTTTGTCATATGGCAGTTTTACACTCGTTAATCTCGCTTATTTTTCACGCGAGTTTACCTGTGCCAATATTATAATACTTGCTAATTTTTAAAATAATTTACAATTTACGATTTACAATTGCTAATGAAAACTAATTTTACCGGAAATTGCCTGTCACAACTTGCTAATGAAGACATTCCTTTATAAGTGTGTTTTACCTCTCTTAATGATCTGCATATCTCAATGAAAACTATTTTTTTACATGGATTTACCTTATCTAAAAATTTTCATTATCATCTTAAACCTAATAACGGTATCCCCTCCATATCTTTCACTAACAAATCACATAATGATATTCACCATCACTTTTACTAACCACTAACTACCATTATAACACCACCACAACTAGACACACACACGATACCATATACCACCCAAAAACCTACCACTCCCCCTACAATCAAATACCAGCTTAAAGACTCCCTTAACCAGTAGTCCAAACACCTTCACTACGAACTGAAGAAACACCTTTGGGCATTCTCGCGACGTCTGAACGAAGAAGGCTGCGAGGACCGTGAAAAAAAAAAAAAAATTGAGCCATCGTCTTCACTCTTCTTCCTCAGTCGATTCGGCCCACTGACCTCTTCTCTCTGCTGATTTTCTGCGATTTGCAAATCACTCTCTCTATATATATTCCCTCTGTTTTAACTCATTTTGATGTGTACGTTTCTGCTAATGAGAATATATTTCAATAAATCGTTGGAAGTTTTTTTTTTCTTTATATAGGTCTACTTTGAACGAGGACGCACTCGGCCTTGACATCGTGGCCAATTGTGTGTGTAATTGTTAGTACCATAAATTTTCATTAATGTTCGATGTCATGGCCGGTTGCGTTACATTTCAATCCATGTATATAAGGCAGAATGGGTTTGTTGATATTTATTATTGCACGCGCGCGCGCGTGTGCGTGTGTGCGTGTGTATGTGTGTGTGTGTGTGTGTGTGTGTGTGTGTGTGTGTGTGTGTGTGTGTGTGTGTGTGTGTGTGTGTGTGTGTGTGTGTGTGTGTGTGTGTGTCTGAGTGAGTGAGTGAGTGAGTGAGTATGAAAGCGTGTGAACGCGTGCTTCCACAAGCATTCAAATTTGCTTACACGTGCGTATTTACACAATCGTATGCGTGAATGCGTAAGTACACGTGCATGTGTATACAAGAAAGAGTGAGCGTGTGTGTATCCAATGAATATTCCGCTTAACAGACCCAAACGGGCTTTCTCTATACAAGGGACTTTTCACCGCTCTGTTTGGGTCCAGAAAATTCCCTTGCACCACGAGACACAAAACACGGTAGATTATTTTATTACGTGTTGCAATAACATTCATAATAAACGATAATAACAATTATTACAATAGCAAAAATAACCATTATCTTTTTCTTATTATGAGTATTACTTCTATCCCATTTATAATTATTATTACAAATACCTATTAAAGACTTTACTCTATCATGCACATATGTTATATCACATTTCCAAGGAGTCTAAAACATTTTCCTCAGAGCTGCGTAGCCTGACAAAAAAAAGTCAACACGGATATAGCACAAACACACATTTACGACCTTGTAATAGCTGTTATAGAAGGAGCATAAAAGCGCTCGCCTCTTGTAGAAACTCGGAAAAAGGGAGCGAATTTTGGCAAGTTTTACGGCCCTGGTAAACCTATCGTTTAATGGACTGTCATCTCGTTCGGCGTCGTGGCTGCCAAATGGGACAGCGATGGAGGTCAAGGTGGTGATGATGGGGCAGGTGGTGATGACGGTGAAGGTGGTGATGGTGGGGCAGGTGGTGATGACGGTGATAATGGTGGTGGTGGTGGTGAAGGTAGTGATGACGGTGACGGTGGAGGTACGGTGGTGGTGATAATGGTGGTGGTGAATGTAGTAATAATGATGATGGTGGTGATGATGATGGTGGTGATGGTGAAGGTAGTAATAATGATGGTGGTGGTGATGATGATGGTGGTGGAGGTGCTGGTTGTGAAGATAGTGATATTGATAGTGGTGGTGGTGATGGTAGTGATAGTGGTAGTAGTAGTACTGGCTTGTGGTTGTGGTATGGCGGTATAGCAGTGGTGGTGATGATTATGGATATAGTAGTGGGGTAATTGTGAAGATGATGGGTAGTGGTGATGGTGACGACAATGGTGGTGGCGACGATTTTAAAGATGATAATGATGATGGTAAAAATGATATAATGATGATGATAATGATAATGATAATACCTGCCTTTGCGTTAGTAATTCTGATAATGGTGGAGCTCGTATTGTTATTACTATTATTATTGTTATTATTATTGTTGTTTCTGGTGATCGTTCTCGAATTGGAGGTGTGATAGAGCCCATGGTTATGATAATGATATTGACGCTAATGATGGTGATAATAACGATGATCCTAATGCTCACAATAGTATCAGTAATGGTGAGTGACTGACACAAATGCTAAAATATCCACACAGATTGATTAACACCTATAAAGATAAACAAAGAGACAAGGAGAGAAAATGACAGCGCTGGAACGGTGACCTCCAGAGACTCTTGTCATTAATTTCGATCGTTACTAGCTTCAATTAAGGCATGAAAGGATAAATTGATGTAATTATGAGTCATGATCTCATATAATGACCTTGCGTGTATTAATTATGTTATGGTAAATTTCTGTTATCAACTACGTAAATTTCGATCCTGTACGGGCATATCTAGACACACTTGCATCTTATGATTATATATAATCAATTTTCTCTCTGTAATAAATCATGAAAAGTCACTCGGTTGTTATCTTCGGAAATTTGACTGTCAATAGATTCCCTATACATTCACTGACAGGCGCCATATTCGGGAATTTCTACCCCTTTCTAAACTGCTCTACATTTCATCCACGACATGACATTAATCTACTCATCATTTCTGGATTCACACAATAAAAAAACAAAAAAGAAATTACCACCCCCAAAACAGCCGACGCAGAAATGTGCGTACTCACCCTTAAAATACTTGAGCATAAGTAGCACACACTATATGAAAACGCGACAGGTGCAGTCGAGTCAGTCCAACGCCGAGATGAGGAGCTGCAAGCTTCACTCCACAGCAGTCTTCGAC